CAAGCATTAGAACTTGAAGACTACATTAAGAAACTGTGTGAGTAATTAAATGTTTCTTATAGCTGTATTTTATTGATGAGGTCCTCGTCATCCTAATAGTCTTATTTTATAATCAAGATAATCAAACAGAAGCATTAGGAGTTCACTATGTGAAAGGGTCTAGTTCAAAATCAAGTGATCCCTCAACTAGTTAGAATTTTTTATTCGCATCATGTAGTGATATAGTCATGCAAAACGCCTTAACGGCCAATTTTTATTTATTGTAAGCCGGATTTCAGCAATGTTTTTTTTTATTTCTTAAATAAAGCATACATTATGTTTTCCCGAATTTTGTATTTATTTGCGTGTATTAATAAAAAATTTTCTTGGTAATTTCAGCGAGGCCCGTCGCTCAAAAAACACATTTTTTTATTTTGAATGCTTATATATAGTGTATTAGTTTTATATATTATAGATCATGTCATCCGAGCTTGAATTATTGAAACAGTGTATCACTGAACTTGAGGCTGAGAATGCAGAGCTTAAGGCTGAGAATGCTGAGTATGTCAAGCTTAAGGCTGAGATTACTGAGCTCGAAGCTGAGTATGCCAAGCTTAAAGCCGAGAAAGCTGAGTTTCTAAAATCTACCAAAAAATATTACACAGATTTTGAGGCCCAGATAGTAAAATTAAAGCATCTTAGTTTGGAACAGCCAGACCGTCTTGAGAGTATTGAGGCTATAATTATTGAGATTAAGGCTCAGAATGCAAAAAATAAATCAATCATAGAAGAATATGAAAAGGAATTGGAATGCAAGAAAAATCGCAAATTCCAGACTAGATGCATCCAGATAGCTAAGGAGATTCTTAATGAGGAACCTATGATCGAATATCGCCTTTCTTTCTTGAATAGATTAGAGCTTGATGCCTTCTTCCAAAAATACCGAATTGCGCTGGAGGTGCAAGGGGGCTCAGTATCGGTTTCATAGCACTAGCTGGTATAAAGATGTCAAAAAACTTGAGGACATCGTTAATCGTGATCGGCAAAAGAAATGTATTTGTCAAGATAATGGAATCTTCCTTCTCGAAGTGTGGTATGATCAAAATCCAGAAATTGTTATTCCAGAAAGGATACGAAAAATTAAGGAATTCGTTAATAAAACATCCAAAAGTTTCGATCTCTTATAATCAATATACGTAATCCATTGCTCTACAAGAAATATTTAATTTTTTTCGCATATTTCATGTGCTAGTAAATTTCAAATTAACGGTCATGTATCTGATATTCCAATCTTTCCAGCCAACGGTCATCAAAATCGGATATCCGTATTAAAAAGAAACTTCACGTATATCACATAGTGCGTCCGTAAGGGAATTCTTCCCGGCATTTTTTTTATTCAATCATGTAACTCGTATACTAATAGCTCATTTTTATTACAGGACTACTAAAGTGGGTCAAACAATTTAAGTAATGATGGGTCATAGCAATTTTGGCAAGCTGAAATTTCAATCACAGATAGATTATAATCATGTGACGCAAGCTGTCTCTCATTTTATTATTTATTCTTTAACGTATTATTATTACCAACAATTTTACATTTGTATTTTTTACATGAATTTTTTGTTGGTCGCATATAGCAAATTTTTTCACATATTTCAAAGTTCTCAATATAATAGCTGTAAAGCATGTCTCAATTGAAGAAATTATATAATTTATTCCTGGAAGAAGAAAAAAATTAGGAATTATCAGTAATAATGTAATAGCAAAGCATGAAAGCAACACTCACCAGACGATCCAAAATTCGTCGCTGAACCTCCCAGAGATCTATGGTGAAGTTATTTGGTGTTCCCCAGGGCACACCTCCAGGAAAACTATTGAAAAGTAAATTTGATGGTATATCAATCTGATAATTTTGCATTCCGGGATTCGTACAAGCAGTGTCATTAGGCTGAAGGAGGCCATTGATTCTATAACGTCGTACTCCGGTACTATTAATGATATCTATTGATTCTTGTTGAAGAGGTGCTGTTCCGAACGAAATTATGAGATTTGGTATCGTGTTTCGTATTGTTGTCATACGTACGTTTGGTCGGGTTTGTGTAGGAACAGTTGTAGGAATCTGGTTATTACGCAAATAAAGCATCGCGACCATCGCAACGGTACCATCTGACCGACGATTAAATATTTTAATTGATAAATAAACTTGAATTAATCTGGTTTGTGCAGAATCGGAAAAATATTCACTCGACAAAGAATGCAAACTTCCAATAGACTCATATCTTCCCACTTCTATAATCATTCTTGGTTGTGGTACGCGTCCAGGTGCAGGTGTACACTGTTGTTGTCCAGGTTGCCAAGGTGGCCAAGGTTCAACTATGACGTTAGAAATATACTGAGTGTTACGACTAACAGTCATATCTAGTTCCGAACTAATTTCAAGATAGTTGCTCCAATTTCCTATCAAACGAGTCAAATATCCAGCTACGAATGAATGGGGAGGACTAGGCATTTCATAAATGATTACTTCACCTTTAACTAAACGGATGTAAACTTTAAACTTTCTCGCTTCTATATGTAACTCGCGAAATTTTTCAAGTGATACGCCACTTAAAACTACAATCTTTGTATACTTTTCTATTGATTGCTTTGATTTATTTTTAGCTGTACCCTCTTCTGTTATATTCTCTTTTATGGTATCCTGCTCAATAAATTGGAGAAAGGTATCTCTTGCTAACTTAAACTTTTTGTCCAGTGTATTTTTTAACATTTTGAGAAAATTTTTTATCAAAAGTGATTTGTGAGAATTTTTATATCAATCATAGAACTAGTGATCATCACGTGTTAACTTTTATCAAGCAAACTAGGGGTAACTTCGGAATCATTATACAGTATAAAATATAGGAAGTTACTTTAAAGTATGTATCTGGGCATATGTGAATACTTAGGGTAGGAAAGTGCGTAAAAATATTGGCAGAAGAATACCCAATCACTAGTATGTACCGGGTATATGTGGATACTTAGGATAGTTAAGACTTCTTCGGTAATATATTATTATATAAAAATGTTTCATGACACCGTCACAGCACTTAATGCACCAACTATGCCCATACCAGCTGAAGACGATTTTGATAAAATGCTCATGGAAGCTTTTGAGGAAGAGGAGGCTAGGATAGAGAAAGAAAGGCAGAACGAAATTTCGTCAAATGTAGTAACTCCAGCTCCAGCTAAGATGAATGACTACGATGATGTGTATTTCGAGGAGAAGAAACGAATGAAGTTAATACAGACGAAGGCGATTCCAATTCATGTAATGATGACTCCGATTCTGAAAAAGAGATGCCAGACGAATCGGATGATAATGAATACGGTGGATATGCTGAGTGTGATAGAGGCTATTATTATTGTGATGGAAAATATGAAAGGAAAACATCACCAATGATGAGTCCTATTATATCTCCGGTATCTGGTTAGGAGAATTATTAGGTGGATTGTATACTGAATTATGCGAAGCGCCCCTTTGGTTGATCGGGGCTCATATAGGTTTATTTTTTTCAGCTGAATCGGGATCAGCAAATTAATAGATATTAGGGTTGTCATATTTGTTTCGTGTTTTGCGACGATCATAGCATCCGGAAGCGATGGTTCCGCAGTCGCATTATGCAAAATTGGGTCATTGGTTGACGAGCTATTCGCCGGGGATTCTTGCCGAGATTTTATTCTGACATATCCTGCGCAGTAATACTTCTATCACGTGTCTTATTATTTTCGATTTCTGCAGTAAGAACACCATTAATTTCGGTCATACGTGTAGAAAGCTTATTAGCAATTTTATTATCATATGTAGGAGGGTGATTGGAGAATTGGTTTTTGATAACATAAACCAAAAAACAGACGCTAAGAAGAATAGAAACTGTAAAGTTTTCAAAGATATGCCACAAGGCGTTGTTTTGCAAGACGAGTGCAGACATATTTTCAGAGTGAAGTAGAAAAAAAAATATGTTCAGGTATAGATCACAGGTAATTTTGCGTAATTTTTTACGATTTATTAGTATAATTTATCGCTAGTGAAGCTAAAGGTGAATTCACATCCCTTTTATACATTTTACAGTCAGTTTCATGGCAAGGATCCCAATTAATGCTAGTATAATTAGAAGAGAACTCGCGTCGAAATACAGGCCTGGAATAATTGTGAAAATGATATCATGTCCATACCCCTATTTCTGAAAAAAGAAATGTTAAGATCCAGAGTGACGCTTGTACCTAAAGACAAAAAAAGTTAGTGCATTCCCGTATCCCCATATCCTCACAATATGTTTCAAATAATAAATAATAATATTTTTCGTAAATGCTTGGCCGAGAGGCCTTACGCAAGAGAAAAGTTCTTTTATTATTGAAATATTCGTTGGACCCCTCTGGGATCATGAAATGTACAGTATATAAATATGC